GGGGCCTGAACTCTGGGCCTGGGCGCTGTCCCTCAGCTCTTCAGCTCAAGGCTAGCATTCTACCACTTGAGCCACAGCGCCACTTCTGGCTTTTTTGTTTTTGCTTATGTGGTGCTGAGGAATCGAACCCAGGGCCTCATGCATGCAAGGCAAGCGCTCTACCACTGAGCCACCTTCCCAGCCCCTCCACTTCATTTTTCAAATAATAACTTGATATTTAAAGGACTTAAAAAATTTTAACATGCACATTAACAAAAAAGAATGATAACAAGTTAAAACATTTTTGATCTGGGATATAAGCATTAATGGGAAAAAGCAGACAAATAGAAGGAGGGAAGGCAAATACAGACAAAATACTTCATATACATTTGTGGAAATGAAAAACAGCAATTTACTGAGAACGGTTCCAAAGGAGAAAGTGGGGAAAATGGAGAATGGCAGAGGAGGGATGATCAAGAAGCACTGTATATATAAATGAACTTGTTAAAATGAAATTCCCTTGAACAACTGATGCAATTTTTAAAAAATCCACCCCTTTTAACTCATAACGGAAAAACTCATTCCTCACCATAGACAGTTTAAGTAGCTCTGCTCTAGTCTTATCACAGACTGATTTTCCAAAGGTGGTAGCAACAATATCTCTATCTTGCTTACTCTTCAGCAACAGAATCTTGTTCTTCCCTTTACCACTCCCTTTGATCTAGATGGGCTTGGTGGTTATTTCTGACCAACAGGATATGCAAAAGAATGTTGTGTCAGTTGTGTTTTACTAGGCTGGCGACTTCTGTTTCTTGCCTTTGAATGCCAGCTCTAGGGGAACACAACCAATGAAATTTAAAAATGGTCCATCAAATACTTACTTTTGGTACGTTCCCAAGCTATCAGTTTATGTTTCACTAATTCTCTTAAAACTTTGTTACAGCCTCCATGTTTCAAGCTGGCAATAGAAGCAATTAAACTGCAGGGAACAATTTCATGATTCTTCATACCCATTTCAACCTGAAATTAAAGGGATCATTTTAGATTCATAATTAGGACAAAGCTAGCTTTGTCTATCAAAACCTTGCCATGAAATTAACTTCTCCTTGAAACATTCCTGACCATGTAGTTCTCCAGTTTAAGTCATTGTGGGCCTAACAGCAGGGACAGATTCTGAGAAGGGTGCCATTAGGTAATTTGTCCTTCTGCTAACATGACAGAAAGTACTGATGCACATTAGGACAGCCAGATGTCATTGTTAGATGACATGATTTCATGGAAACAGTGTAATCTGTCATCTGTTGCTGACAGAAATATTTCTCCCTTCTCTAATAATATATTTCAAATTACAATTTGATATACACGTTAATCAGTATATTCATTGACTCTACTTCAAGAGTAGGATGCACTATGGCAGATATTAAAATACTTGATATCTAAAGATTTGCTTAAAAAATGACAAATGTCTTAGATATTCAAGCAGATGTTTAAGAGGAAGCACAGTACATAGGCATTGTGCTAGGGATTACAGAGGATTAAAAACCGAAATTCTTTCCTCCTAGATAATTAAAAGAAGAATATACCTGAGAAATTCTCTCAAGAAAGATGCAACGCATGAGACTGACTTTGAGGACATGCAGGAGAAAGAAGATAAAAGGAAATCAGAAAAATAAAGGTAAAGACAGACAGAAATGGCACATACATAAGAAAGTATTGAGCAGTTAAGTAGTTCAGATAAGATGGCATGCAGAATTCATGTAAAAAAAGCCACAAGATACTTGACTAAAGAGAGAAAAGACAAAAATAAACACTAAGGATTTTTGCATTTTATAGTGAAGAAAACAAACTTTTGGAGATATTTAGGAAAAGGAGATACATGAACAGTATTATTTCTAGAACAATAATTTAGCAAGAAAAGATAGGCAACAGAAAAAAAAGCAAAAATAGAGGGAATATAAGTTGAAATGCTTAAAATTATTTTTTAGAGGAGTTTGGGAAAAATAAAGTGGGTAGAAAAAGCTGATAAATTTGTTGTGAGCACATAGTCAAATGAAGACACATGAAGGGAAATTTAAAAAGTGTCTAAATTAAGGAATGAAGAGGAAAACATTGTCAATTTAACTTGACAGAGCAATGTAAGAGTTAATACAATCACAAGAGGTAAGTAGAAATAAAAGGAGACATAATTTTAGAACAAGTTCATGGGAAAAGCTAAGGACAGCAAGTGAAGCACTGGTAATTGATTTGATATAGGAGGCAAATTGATATAAAGAAGAAAGAGGGGGCCAAGGAAGGAGAACAACATGGATGGCTAAGGTTCAACTGTGAATGAGATGTTACATTAAACCAGATCATCCTGAGTATGCTTCAAAAAGAATTTAAATACTGCAGAGTTAGTCTTGGAAAATAACTTATCACTTTAATGTCCCGACCACCTAACTTTACACTTACAAACTTAACTCCTTTTCCATGCTTTGGAATAGTGAATATGTTGAAGAAGCATAGAAGTAATTTATCTTTTAGAAGTGATAGTAACTATTTTTGAGAAGCCCAGGTGAGTAGAGTGCTGGTGGCTCACACCTATAATCCTAACTACTCAGGAGGCTGAGAATTGAAAACCACAATTCTAAGCAAGCCGGGACAGGAAAAGTCCCTGTGAGGCTCTTATCTCCAATAACCACTTGAAAATCAGAAGTGGTAAAAACAAAACAAAACAAAACAAAAAACCAGAAGTGGTGCTGTGGCTCAAAGTGGTAGAGCACTAGCCTTGAGCAAAAGAGCTCAGTGACAGCACCCAGGCCCTGAATTCAAGCCCCAAGACAAAACAAACAAACAGATAAAGTGTAGAATCTACAGGGGAGAAGAAAAGCATGCTACAAATTCAGAATAAATTTATGTTTTAGTTTAATCCTAAAATTTTGCTATTTAAGACACATGTCAAAACCCAAAGCCTTAAAATATATCTGGTTACATGATTACACAAAATAGGTAGTTCTCATCACGTGCTGATTTATTCCACATCTAGATGTACGCATTGATCATACCGTTATAAGACAAAAGGGAGTAGGGAAAGGGGAAAGAAAGGAAGAAGAAAGGAGGAAAGAAGGGTGGGAGGGAGGAACGGACTGAATTTGGTTAAAATATAAACTGACAAGATTCTTGTATCCAAAAAGTGTTCCCTGGCAATCCAAAGACTTTTTCATCATCACCATCCACCAGAGGCACACATTCTACTTCATTACCCTTTGGCGTCTGGGTAAGTCGTAGTGATAGTTCGTTTGCTGGATGGTTCAATTCCTCCCCTCCCTCATCTCGTTCAATCCTGGGAACCTGACCATTTTTTCCCCGCTGAGCGAATCAGAAGCAGCAGGGCAGCAGGAGCACGACCCGGCCCAGTCGGCTGAGAAGCACGCAGCCTGAGCCACTGAGCTGGTTCGGGGGCCAGGAGTCAGAGACGCCGCAGAAACGCCGGGTCTCCCGACCAAAAGGGGAGCAGACCTCGGTCCAGTGGGAGAAATAATCCTAAACGACAACTTTTAAAACTCGGGTCTCTGGGCAGCGTCTTCCCGTAGCTCTGGCCTTGCTCCAGGCAGAGAGGACAAGGAGCCTTCCGCCCCCAGCAAGGCCGGGGAGGGACGGGAAGAGACTTGGGGTGGGGATGGACTAGCGAGGAGGGAAAAGGTGGGCCTCCTACCGCGGTCAAGACCCTGAAGTCATCTCGGCTCAGGTACCGGAGTTTGGCCACATTCACCTTCCCCATGGCTGCCACACGCAGCGTCCCCGGGCCTTTCACGACAGCAGGAGGGAGGACCAGAGGCTGCTGGGTAATTTCACGTACTTTACGGTCGTCGCCAGAAGATGACGCATTGCGTCTTTGCTCATGACGGTCCTAGTTAGTAAAGTGTTATGTGTTTCGTCGTGAGAAGATCCAGGGTGATCTACACTCCCTAAGGCTTCGCACAGTAGCTGTAGAGTGTAATGATTTTTTTGCCTGTGGACAAATGGTCAGATTGTAAATATTCTGCACAAAATTCCGTTTTACTTTTTCATATCTGCCAGGACTTGCCTATGAAACTAGTGGTCCCGCCTTAGGGTGGCGCAAAATGAAATTGTAGGAGGGACAAACTTGAGCTGAAACAACAACTTCTGGCTTTTGACAGTGACTTCCATCCGGACTGGTAGAGGAAACCGAATAGCCGAAACCTTTAATACTGTAGGCTAGGTACTTAAGGCGCTGGAGCCGCGCCTGCGGGAAGGCCGCGCGGAGAGAATCACGCATGCGCAGGTTCCATCGGTTTCCCCGGGCAGCCTTGCAGACTTTACCTTTTCCTGAACCACCGGCAGTAACAGGACAGCAAAACTTAGGCGGCACTGGCTGCACGTCGGTCTGATTTCACGAGCTAGGTTTTAAACCTTTAAGCAGCAAGTATTTTGGTTCCCTCTCAGGTGAAGCCTTGGGATCCCCAAGTTTGCTGTATACTGTAGGAATGACCTCACTCCCAGCAACTGCTGTTGAACCGCTCTCCCGGGTCCAGTGTGAAGACTTGGAGTTGAAAAGTTGAGTTGAAATTCAGTTATTTATTGGCTTCCACTCTGTTCTCTAGATTTCCATGCACCAGAGTTCTGCGTTTCCTTCAAGACCGAAGCCGAACCTATTGTTCGATTCAAACAGGCCGTGGATTTTGAAGGCAGGCATGTCTTTCCAGCTAGGGCAGTTAAAATACAGAAATGGTGGAAGGAAGAAGGAGAAACATGCGCTTCCCTCTCTAGGCTCCAATCTTTGGCATCCTTTCCTTGAATACAGCTTTCTTTGATGATCCACTCTCATCTAAGGGAAATCTTTCTTTACGTGTAATTTTCCTTTACTTCACACAGACATAAGGCGAAAAGTTTAAGAAATACCAAATAACGAACTTGCCCTATCCAAGAAGTGTGATGAAAAGGCAAATAATTTTCGATGTTTACTTCTAATATAATACTTTAATGATTACTGTTAATCTATAATGGCACAATCAACTACTAATTGAGTAGTTAGACTAGAATTGCTATCCAAGTTCTGGACTCTCACATTCGGTCAATTCTCCTCTTCTTTAATTATATAATAATAATAATGATAATTATTATTATTAAAATCTATTTAAATCCTCCGGCTACTCAGGACATGGATATCAGGAGGAATGAAATTCAAGGCAGGTCTCAGCTAGAAGTTAGTGCAACCCTCCCCAATCTCAACAAACAAGCTGGGTGTGGTGGTTCATATCTTTAATCCCAGCTAGATAGTAGTCCTTGGGTAGAATGATCCAGTTAGAGGCTGGTCTAGGGCAAAAACTTGAATAACTAAAACATAAAGTGTAATGGCTAGGGCATGTCTCAAGTTGTATACCTTTTGCCTAGCAAGCATGAAGCATTGAAGTCAAATCCTAGAACCACCAAGAAAATGCAAAGCAGCCAGCCACTGTTGGCTAAGGCTAATAATCCTACTTAGGAGGCTGAAATGTGACTATAGAAGTTTGAAACAAACACAAGCAGACAAAAAGACTTTCAATACTAATTAACCAGCAAAAAGTCAGAACTGGAGGCATGACTCAAGTAGTAGAATGCTACCCTAGCAAGCAAGGGAGCCTCTGAGTTCGAATTCTAGTATCAATATACACAAACAATTAGAAGAAATTATTTAGTAGGCCTATTTAGAAACAAATGTTAAGTGATTGAAATTCAGTTTGGTATTCTTTTCCACTGTCATCCTATGTGTAGTGTATACTAAAAATACACAATATTCTCCAACATTTCTCAACCATTTATGCCAGATTTGTTGTTAGGTCCTAGGAGAACTCAGTTTTAACTCTTAAACTTTGTGGTAGAAGGAAATGATTAAAAAAATTAGAATGTGACAGAGGTCCCAAGGGAGTATAATGTAATTATTTCTCACTGTACTCATACATGCACACACACACACACACACACACACACACACACACAGAGGAGAAAGAAAGAGACCTTGTCCTCACGGAGTGTAGAGGACCTTGATATTACACATATTATGGATCATACATACATTATGTTTCAGAGTTTTCAGTCTGACCTTCAAGATCTTTAACATACTCCATTACTTCAGATTTTCTCTCTCCTTTCTCTTTGCATGTGATGCCTTTTCTTATCTTCAGTTACAATAAGTTCTACCTTTGATTCTTCTAGCACTATGTACCTCATAAAACATTTGTTTTACTTCTATTTGTTTACTAGGGCTACTGTAGCAAAGTACCTTAGCACTGATTGACAGGAGGTTATAGTATTGGAGGCCAGAAATATAAGATCATTTTTACTGAGTCAAACCAAAAGTTGGCAGAGCCCTGCTCCTGCCAAAATTGGTAAGGGAGAATTTAGTTGCTATCCCTTCATCTTTCAACTTTTGCCAGTATTTAGTGACTATCATCATTTCTTCTTCTTCTTCTTCTTCTTCTTTTTAATTGTGAGAATACCATACAGAGGAGTTACAATTACATGGGCAAGATAACAAGTACATTTCTTATCAAGCATTGTTGCCTTCTCCTTTGTTTCCCCTTCCCATCCCTTCCCATACTCCCCCCTCCCCCCACCAGATCCTTCCCCCTCTCCTCACCAAAGTTGTAAAGTTCGTTTTTCGACATAATGACTTGTACGTCTCATTGTTGCAATGGGTCCCCCTGTATCCCTAGTTAAACGATTTGTTTTATTCCTTCCCCTCCACAAATTATACCAACATCAAATACAGTGAAAGCATGGGTTATACCTTGGGGGAGGGACATACAAAGCCCATTTCTTTGGCCTGTGTGCAGTCCTACTGTCTAAAGTGTCAGAGTCACATTATTTTCTCCACTTCAGTAGTATGTATGTCTCCCTCTGTCTCTAATTTAGAGAATACATATTTTATTTACAACTCTCTGTGGCATTTAAGAACCACAGCCCCAAAAGGATATAGCATCCTCTTCTAATCTTCTATAGTTCATTACTTTTAACTATTTTGACAATTTTAAAACTATTATAGTGTTCCTAAATTAGATTCTTTCTGTAAAAGTTTGATTCAAGAAATTGAATAAAAAGTACTAAAATAATATACTGGCATATCCTTAGAAAAATGTAGTTTTCTTTAGTTCATATGGACCTTTGTGCCTTTTGTATATTAGGGGTACTACATGCAGGAAATCGCAGTACAACATATATGGATATGTGGAATTTATGGGGGAGCAACATGTGTTTGGTGTGTTGGTCACTGTTGTATCCTTGTGAAAACAGACCTGACACAACTTCTTAAAGGAGGAAAGATTTATTTTGCCTCACTGTTTCAGAGGGTCCTGTCCATGATCGCTTATCTCCATGCACTTTGGTAGAACATCTTGGAAGTAGAAGCATGTAATGGAAAAAAACTGTTCACTTAATGACAAGAGAGGGAGGAAGGAGCTGGAGACCAGGTATAACTTGTAAAGGCTTGTACACAGTGAATGACTCTTTTCCTAAGATTCTACCATCTCCTCAGATTGTGCCACCAGCTGGAGATAAAATGTCCAGCACAGGACAGCTGTCGGAAGGAAACATTTCATATTCAAATCATGACAGATTCCAGTTTACAGAAGTTACTGCAACTATTGCTGTCCCTGGCTATCAGACACCAATGTTGTGTTCCCAGAATCATTCTATCTCTTAAGACTAACCAGTCACTTTGTGTCAAACGAACTATATCCAACGCCTTTCATATAGAAGGGCCAGAGCCAGAGATTCATATTAAGAAGTGTGTGTGTGTGTATGTATGTGTGTGTGTGTGTGTGTGTGTGTGCGTGCACACACATGTATGTGAGTGCAATGGGTTTAGTTTTTCCTTCCTGCAAGTAGATCTCAGTATTCTAAGGCCTATAGAGTCTTTTCTTAAAAAACATGAGACCTCACTTTTTAAGAATAGGAGAATGTGGGCTGGGAAGGTGGCTCAGTGGTAGAGCGCTTACCTTGCATGCTCGAGGCCCTGGGTTCAATTCCTCAGCACCACGTAAGCAAAAAGAAAAAAGCCGGAAGTGGCGCTGTGGCTCAAGTGGTAGAGCGCTAGCCTTGAGCTGAAGAGCTGAGGGACAGCGCCCAGGCCCAGAGTTCAGGCCCCATGACCGGACCCCCCCCCAAAAAAGAAAAAGAATAGGAGAATGCACATGGTCATGGGATACCTGCTCTATCACATGCCATACCACTCAGCACCTACATGTGAAAGGCTGCCACAAGTTTCCCTTCATAGTCTCCCCTCCTACTGACCTAGTGGTGTTTAAATATAACATTGAGATCCCTCAAACATTTTATCTGTGTATTTCACCTTCCCATTAAAAAGGCATTTGACCAGGGCTTCTTACTTTCTCTTTCAGCTCCCCTCCTGCCTTTGGAACCCTTTCCTTTTGCACCTCTTCTCTGAGGCTGGTTTATGTGGTGCTGTGCCTCCTTCTTTATAGTTTTATGAGTATAATAAGACTGTCATACCCATTCCCTGCTCTGGGTGTTATATGTGTCTGCAAAAGACCATCTAAAATGAAACAACCAAGACAAAACAAAAGTTTCTTAAACACAGTCTTGTGTTACTTCCTGATGGGAATATATTTTGAAAGCTGCATCATTAGGCTATTTCCTTATTGTGGAACACAGTAAATGTATTTAAATCTAGATGGTGTAGCCTGTGGCCTACTTATGCTATGTAGTATAGTCTACTAAAAGTAGACAGTAGGATTTCACTAAATCAAAAAGTTTCTTTACCACAAAATAAATTATTTGCAAAGTGAAGAGACA